AGGACCTTGTCCAGGCCACTGCCCTCTCTCCCTGGCTCCTACAGAAGCTTCCAGACTGCCCGTGCCCACCCCCGCAGCCCGTGCTATAGGACCTGCAGCAGCCAGGGAGCGCTTTCCAGAACCAAACCTGCTCCGTCCCGTCTCTGTGGAAACCTCTCCACAGTCGCCGGCAGCCCCCAGGGGCAGTGGGGCTCTTCAGCCGGACACACTGTGCCCCCCACCCCGGCTCCCACCTCTGCCTTCGTCCCCGCCCCCCCCCGCCTCTTCCCAAACTCCCACCTCTGGCCACAGAGCTTCCTTAAGTCTGTCACCGTTCTGCCTCTGAGCCTTTCACCTTCTGTTCCCTCTCCTGGAATGCTCATCCCCAACGTCCTGGCCAGCTCCTCTCCAGTTCTCCGCTGACCCCACCTCCTCCAGAAAGACTTCCTGGCCTTTCCAGGCTGGGGCGAGCGTATCTTCTTTACACCCACCTCCCCCCCCCCCAGGGTTTCTGGGTTATAATCACCAGCTTATCATCTGGGTCCCCCAAATGCAAGGACAGCGTGGCCATCATTCTGTCCCCAGGGCTTGGTCTCGGTAGCCCAGACTCTGGTCCCCAAACCACCCAGATGGGGGCATTCTTTGTCCTTCTGGGCCCCCTCCATTTGAAGGGCTTCCCCTGGCCGACCCGTCCTGGGCTCAGGCCTACTCTGACGGGGCTCAGCAGCGGTGGTGAGACTGAGTGGTGACATGTCCCTCGGCCTGTCTGAACTTGTTAACTCCAGGGAGAGGATGCTCCATGAGGGTGACAGCTAAGGGGCCCCCTGTCAGCTCCCATCAGTGGGAGCCCTCCCTTCCCACCCCGCCCCCCTTCCCATCTTGCAGGTCTCTGCAGATCTGTCACCGCCTTCGAGGAGCCTGCTGTGATTGCCCAAACTAAACTCATCTGCTTTTAGAGTTCATCCCACACCCTCATCTATTTCCTTTGTGGCTCTTGCCGTGACCTGTCACTACCTAATGCATCAGTTTGTTTCCTGGGTCACTGTCTGTCTCCCTAATCCCCCAGGACGCCGCATGAGTTCATGGACCACCCACTCCCCGTACCCGGCAACCCCAGTGCCCAGCACAGATGCTCCCTAAAGGAATGAATTAATGAAGGAAGCCTCAGTCAAGGAGACGAGAGTATAGGTTCTAGAGCCGGGGATACTGGGGTTGGAACCCAGGTTCTGTCACTGACTTGGGCAAGGGACTGCCTCTGACTGAGCCTCAGTTTCCCTGTTCACACTTACCCGGGCCCAGCCCCCGGGAAGCCTCTGTGATGGCCACCATGTCCTTGCTCAGAGGGACAGGATGGTGCCCCAGGAGGGTGGTCGCAGTGCAAACAGATGGGCTTGGGCCCGCCAGCCGGGTCCGGGGGGCCCGGCTCGTGCCAGTCCTTGAATTACCCGGCAGGTCCCCAATTCTGATTTCATGCCTTGTCTGCTTATCTGCTGAGCAAGTAGAGTCTCCCTATTTAACAGAAGGGAAGACTGAGGTCCAGGCGTGCAGAGAGCACAGACTTCCAGAGCCTTGGAGCCAGACAGGGTGTCAGGGGAAACCACCTCGGCCAGTGCTCTTGCTGTCCGGACAGGGAAAACGAGGCACCCCAGAGGAGCGGGGCCCACCCGAGTGACTATCGGGGCCTCTAGCGCCCCAATCCTGGACTCCAGGGAGGCTGTGGAGCTGGTCCCGGGCCCCATCTCCCCAGATTTAATTAACAGGCCTTTCATCTTTATCCTGAAGGAATCTGCTATCTTCTGTCTTTTTAATTAACGTTCATTAAGCAAATCAGGACAGCAGTTTTCTCCTTCCTTTCTTTGCCTGGAAGGTTTTAACCCTTGGTAGGTGGGCTGCAGGGGGGGAGTCGGCCCCGTTACTCACTGCTCTAGGCAGGAGGCCAGGCCTCTGCGGAGGTCCCCAGCCTAGGCACACCCCCCCCCCCCATCAGCCACACGCAGATACTGGCCCTTCCTCCCACACCACCTCCATGCTGGCCCCCTGGATTCCACCCTATCCATCTTCCTAAAGGATGGACTCCTTCCCAGGCTCGCTGCCACCACTAGGACAAGGGGTTAGGACCATGGGCAGATTATGTGGTTGGGCCTTACAGCTCTAGCTGTAGGGAAACTGAGGCCACGAGGCCCATAGCTTCCATGGCCTGCAAAGGCCCGTTTTCCAGTCACATGTGTGCAGAGGGGCCCCCGGTGGCAGGGCCTTTACTGGGTCATGGTGAGCGTGCTGGGAGGTGACACTCAGAGCCTCCTCTTGATGGACAGTTGGCAGTGTGCCTCTTACTGTCCACTGTCCCAAATGGCGATGTCCACAGCTCTGCTCGTTCAAGGTCCCTTTCCTTTTTTAAAAAAATTTTTTTAATGTTTTATTTATTTCAGAGAGAGAGAGAGAGAGTGAGCAGGGGAGGGTCAGAGAGAGAAGGAGACACAGAATCCGAAGCAGCTCCAGGCTCTGAGCTGTCAGCACAGAGCCCAACGTGGGGCTTGAACCCACGAACCGTGAGATCATGACCTGAGCCGAAGTCGGACGCCCAACCGACTGAGCCACCCAGGCGCCCCTCAAGGTCCCTCCCTTTCCTGATGTCCCAGAGGTGTTCACTGTCCCTTTGTCGCGCAGATCTGGGGAGCTGTCCTGAGACTTTGTGGGTGCACAGACACCCCCACGCTTAGGGGGCCACACTTTGCTTCCAGCGTCTGTGGCTCGGAGCCCCTCCCTGACGCCCATCCTGGGGTGGGAGACACCTGGTTATGTCCTTCTGTGCACGTGTTTTCAGCAACCCACTTCCCCTCTCGGGGCCTCGGTTTCCCCATTTGTACAGCCAGTGCCCTGGACCCAGTGACTTTATCCTTCCTCCTCCACCCCCCCCCCCCCCCCCCCCCCACGCTCCACGGGACCTCCGCCCGGTGCGTTCCTGGCCGCCAGGGGGCGAGAGGGGCCGGTGCTGTAGTGTGGCCAATGTCGCCACCTGGTGGTGGTTCCTGGGAGAACGTGAACAGCTGCGTGGGGCGCTCAGGAAAGAGAAACGAAACGCCCGAGACAAGAGGGAGCCTGGGACCTCCCGGGAGTAGAGTCGGCCGAGGTCCTGCCGCCAGAAGCTGGGCACGGTCGGCGGCACCGCCGGAAGGAGCCGTCGTCGCCTCTCCGGTCCCTGTAGGGCCAGCCTTTGCCGGTTGTGCGGCTCCTGCTCGTTCCCCAAACAGTCCCTGAACGACACTCAGCGCAGACCCTGGGGACACCGTGGCCCCGTGACCCCTCAGCTCCCGCAGACCCTCCGCCGGACGAAGCCCCAGCTCTTCCCCGCAGTGCCCCACACTCCACAGTCCCCTGGCCCAGCCCCCAGGCCCCCCCCCCCCCCGCCCCAGCCAGAGCTGCAAACGCACCACAGACTCGGCCCGCACGGTGTCCTCTGAGCCTCTGCGCACGCTGTGCGTCCTGTCCTCCCCGCTTACCTCTCACCTCTTCTGGGAAGCACCCTCCAGCTCCGGGCAGAGCTAGCCACCTCCCCCGCGCCCCCCCGACACGTTCGTGGGCCTCTGTGCATAGAGAGGTGTCTAGCTCTCCTCTGCCGCCTGCCCCAGCGCGGCGCAGGGCACGCACTGGGCAACCGCGCGTGTCTGCCGAGCAACAAAGGACCGTGAGCACGTGGCCACCGCGTGTCTTGTAAAACAGGCAAGAACAAGCCTTGGGAGGCCATGACCAGGCTGTCTCAGCGCGCGCACGGCCTGTCTTCGTCACAGCGACCGCGCTCGCCCCGCACTTACCCCGCGCGGCGCTCTGGGCCAAGCACCTGGCAGGTGCTTAGGTATTTCCAACAGGAAGGATTGAATGCAGGGAATGGAGTGCTTAGGGGATGGCTGCTGCAAGGCCTGATAGCTAGGACGCTGCAGAACTGACCCACCCCGGAAGCTGCCACCGCCCGAGGCTCTGGGAGCTCACCCCTTAAGTGCAGTCCAGGGGCCAGAAAATAGGGGTCAAGACCCCCCGACTGCTGCCACCCCCAGGGAGCTGGTACAGGAAGCATGCTGCTGCAAGACACCCCTCCTCTGCGACCCCTCTTGCCACCAGAGAAATTCACCAGAAGGGCAGAAGATGGGCTCTGCTCGCTTCTACCTTCCAAATCGTAAGCGAGGACCTCTGACTGGCGGGACCTGGTCTGCATCCGGGGCCCCAGCTACCGAGGCTGCAGGTGAAAACCCATCCTTAGCACGTGGGACGTGTACTTCTATTTTCCTTAGAGATTTCCTTGGGGGGATGGGGAGGGCCGCTAAATTTTATCAAGTGTTTCCTCCTACATCTATTGATATAAAGAGGTGGCTTTTCTTCCTTGATTTACTCATTTTAATGGATGGAGAGCAAATGGGGGGGAGGGGGCAGGGAGGCCTCCGGAGATACTTGTGATGATCCCAGATACCCTTGGTCACAAACTTCAGGTTAGAATCTCTTTTGCTTTGCGAGCAAACACAAGTCAGCAGCTGCAGCTGCTTTTCAGAGTTAATGGGGAGGCGGACCCAGGAGGAACCACCCCCCCAATCCGCCTCGGGTGACTCTGTGGCTGGGAAGAGATGTGTCACGGGAAAGACCAGGCAAAAAGACCCTCATGTCCCGCCCCCACCCCTACCCCAGGACTCGAAAGGCCGGCGAGCGGTTCCCATATGATGAGCAGCCCCTGAAGCCTCACAAGGGCGGAAACCCATCCCATTTTACAGATGAGGCCCGTGAGGCTCCAGGAGGCTGGGCTTCTGCAGCCCGGTGGGAAAGCAGCTCGGGCACTCCCGGGTACGTCCACCAGGGGGGGGTGGGCGCCGAGGCACGGAGCGGCGGGAGGTGGGGGGAGGTGGGGGTGCCGCCCGCCCCTCCCCGCCCTCTCCCACCGCGTCTCCACCCCGCCCCGCCCCTCCGCGTCCTTCCCCGCCCCCCGGGGGAGGCGGGTCCCTGCGCCCCGCGCCCACCGCAGCCCCGCCGGGCGGGCAGAGCGTCCGTGCCCTCGGCCATGGCGGCGGCCGCGCTGCTGCTGGGCCTGGCGCTCCTGGCGCCGCGGGCGGCCGGCGCGGGCGCGGGCTCGGGCGCGTGTTACGACGGCGCGGGGCGCCCGCAGCGCTGCCTGCCGGTGTTCGAGAACGCGGCGTTCGGCCGGCGCGCCGAGGCCTCGCACACGTGCGGCCGCCCGCCCGAGGACTTCTGCCCGCACGTGGGCGCGCCGGGCGCGGGGGCGCAGTGCCAGCGCTGCGACGCCGCCGACCCCCGGCGCCACCACAACGCCTCCTACCTCACCGACTTCCACAGCCAGGACGACAGCACCTGGTGGCAGAGCCCGTCCATGGCCTTCGGCGTACAGCACCCCACCTCGGTCAACATCACCCTTCGCCTGGGTAAGCGCCGCGTCCCCGGGCCGCCGTCCGTCGGGGTGCTGCGCGCCCTGGGCTGGCTGTGTCCCCACCCCAGGCTCCCCACGGTCGCTGGGAGTGTGGACTGATGGGTGCCCCTCGGGGCTGGCAGGGGCGGGCAGCCTCCGCCTCCGGGGAGCCCCTTTATACAGAGCACTGGATCCGGAGGCAAGGACAGTGCCCAATGACGGTTGTCCCTCCTAGCTCAGAGTTTTGTGGGGAGAGGGGGGGACCCATCCGGGGGTGGACTGGTCTGCGCTCCAGGGCAGGAGGTGGGTCGTCCGTCTGGTGGATTTGGGGGGATCGTGAGTCCCCAAGGCTGCGTGCAGTGCTGGGTGTGTTCTTGGGGGTAGGAGCCAAGGCCCTCGCCTCCAGGAGGGGTTAGCCTCTGACCAGCAGCCGCGCTTCACCTTGCTGTTGGGGGGGCTGGACCTGATCTCAAGGCTGCCTGCCCCGCCCGGGCCTCCCTCGCTTCAGCCCGAGAGCCTTGGGCTCGGCTTCCCCAGTCTGGACCCAGGCCTTCACTCCCGACTCCTGCCCCGTTCAGGAATGGGAATATCCCTGCCCCCTTCAAGTCCAGCCTAATCCAGGTCCTCCTTGGGCCCCAGGCACCGAGCTAGGCACCCTATCTGTTGGGGAGGCGTGGGGAGAGCACTGGTTCATACTCCCTTGTCTGTGGGTCTGAAATCTCCCCAAGCTTTGAAAATTCGAGTTATTTTTATACTTCGTTTTGGCTGCCAAACCTGACCAGAGGCTATTGATAGACCTTCTTTATCCTAGAGTGAATATTCATACATTTTGTAACTGAAATCTCATTTAAGTACAGCCTGTGGGGGTAAGCCCAGCAGGGGGTGTTGACACAATCCACGGTGTAAGGACTGCGTTATGTCTCTAAACTCTAAAAAATTGTGCATTCCAAAACACACCCGCAGCCAAGCAGTTTGGATAAGCGGTTATGAGAAAGTATCCCCAGTTTTCAGATGAGAAGACTGAGGCTCAGAAAGGTTAAGGGTTTTGCCCAAAGACACACAGCTGTTAACTGACGGGATAGGAACATCCATAGCCGAGGACAGAGCATAGATTCCTTTACGTGAGCGCCACCCAGAAACAGAAATGGCTCTTCCTAGCCCTGGGGGACAGCATCTTGGGGAGGGCCGGGAAATGACATTGAAGCGAGGTGGGGGATGGGGACGGCACTGAGCCCCTCAGCAGAGCAGGCAAGAAGTTCATTATCTGGGGCCTTGTCACCTTGCACCCGCCTGTCAGGATGGCTGGACGGGGCTGCTCCCTGGGGCGGGGTGACAGGAAACCAGTGGGGGAGGGAGTCTGGGGGAGCTGGCCTGACGGCTGGCGGAACCCCAAGGCCACAGGGAAGGCATCTGGGACAGGGTGGGGGCTGTGGGAGAGACACGCTGTTCCGTGACCGAGGGGGGGTGGCTGATGTGTTACATGTGTCATTGGAACCCCGGGGGGGCAAGGGGCTCAGCCCGGGTTCAGACGAAGCGGGAGGGTGGGAAGCGCCCGGGGTTGGATTTGGGGGCCGTTCCCATTTGCCGAGCGCTTGTGTGCAAGGCCCTGTGCTTGGCGGTGTGACCTTGCTGGGCTGCGTGGGAGGCCCTTCCCAGCTGGGGACCTCACACTCACATCCACACACGTCTACGCACACTCATATGCTCACACCCACATATTCTCTCACATGTATACCCACATTCACATACCTCCACCCTCACACATTCAGCTCCACACACATTTGCTCACATTCGTATGCACTCACACGCACTCACACCTACTCATACCTCCACACTCACACACTTACCTCCACACTCCCGCACACATCTGCTCGCACTCGTATGTACTCACACCTACTCATACCTCCACACTCCCACTCACATCTGCTCGCACTCGTATGTACTCACACCTACTCATACCTCCACACTCCCACTCACACACTTACGTCCACACTCCCACACATGTCTGCTCACACTTGTATGCACACACACTCACAATCTACTCACACATGTATATTCACACCTACTCATAACCTCCACACCCCCACTCACACACTCACCTCCACACATCTACTCACACTCGTGCTCATACAGTCACACACATCTACTCACATATGTACTCACACTTATACTTCCACACTCACATACACACCTCCACACACCCATACAATCTACTCACACATCCACGTACATCTACTCATGCTTATACACACATACACTCTTACACACCTACTCACAACTCTCACACACATATGCTCACACTCAGTCATACCCACACATATCTACTCACATTCATATGCTCATCCACACACATCTACTCATGGCTCTCACGTGCATATATTCACACTCATTCACAACCATACACATCTACTCACACTCAGACACTCATCCACACACACTCACACACATACACACTCACAGTCTACTCACACTTACACTTACACACTCACCTCCATGTACCCGTTTCCTCATATTCATACTCATAGTTATATTCACACACTCACCTCCACACCCCTCACACGTCTCCACACACTCACCCTCACAATCTACTCACTCACACGTTCACACTCACCATTCACACCCACGCACACACTCATGTACTCACACTCACACACTTGCTCTTTCACACTCCCAAACGCACACATGTGCACACCCACTCACTCAGACTGTCACCAGCAGACTCACACACACGCTCACACACACACGCTCACACCCCTCCTTCCCCGAGCCGGTGTTCTGTCACTTTGCACAGCACCAGGCGCACAGGAGGGGCCCAAGAGGCCCTCATTCGAATCCGGAAAGGAGGCCTCCGTGAGTGGCGACGTCACCCCCTCGGCCCTGTGCCTCGGGCCCAGCTCAGGGTTCCCGTTCATCTGGTCTCAGAGACGGAACAGAGTAGAAATCGCAGAACGAGCTCTGGGCTCGGGCACAGCCCAGCCACCGACCGTGCAAACGCTGCCACACCCCTGTGCCCCGCGCCCTCCCCCGCACAGTAGGGCCCAGACCGCCGCCTCCGCACTGCTTGTGCAGGCTCTGCGAGCTCAGGTCGGCCACGTGCCTCCAGGAGCTGTGACGGTCCTCGTGTGTGGCCAGTGTCACTCGGCTGAAAACAGCTCAGGGCTGGGGGTGCCCTGGGGTGGCCTCTGCCCGAAGGATTGAGAAACGCTTGCCACGCTGGCTCCCCAAAGATGTCCTGACCCCCGGGGCCCTGTTTATGCACCAGGGGCGCCGGTGCCCCACAGCAGCCCCCCATTTAGCCTGTTTTGGGTTCCATTCAAGTTTGGTTTGTTCCTTGCTAAGCTGCAGATTGCATAATATCGGGGGCAGAAGTCTGGGCTGGTCAGGGTGTTCCCAGTGGAGGCCTCCAACCTCTCCCCCAGGCCCTCAGGCCACCTCTGCTGGCTCCATCCCCCACTCCTTGGGAGGGGAGAATGGGTGGCTGGCTCTGGCCTGGGGCCCCCAGAGGGAGTGGGGTGGGGGCAGGGGAGGGAGTGGGGGCCAGTCAGCCTCGGGATGGAGGTCGCCGTGTTCCCAGCCCCCTGTGAGCTTGCAGACATCTGTTCCAAATCCCAGAGTCGCTAAGCCGAGCCTTCCTGTCTGGGATGAAAGGCAGCAGCAGGGCCCAGGGAAGCCAGCAGGCTGGGGCCTGGGTCCGGGGCGGGTGGGGGGGGGAGGGGAGGCGGGGGGGGAGGGGGGTTGGGGGAGGTGCATGGTCATCAGGGATAAGAGACACTATTCAGGAGGCTCCCACCTGGGACTAAGAGCCGCAATCAGCCTGATTTCTCTTCCAGGCGGGGATACCGAGGCCCCGAAAGTGAAGTCATTGTCCAGGGTCATGCAGCCAATAAACAGCAGACCCTGGGGTCCTGGCCTGACCGTGCCGCCCTTGGCAATGACAAGCGACCAAGTCCGGCCAGTCTGTGCCTTGCCTTTTGGCAGAGGTAGGGGGCATCTCCCTTCTGGCCTGAACACTTCCTCGGATGCCCTCATGCTCCCGCGCAGATGAGCTCCGAGGCCTCAGGAAGGGACAGTTTCAGGAACACAACAGGCCAGCTTGCCTGCCTCTCTCCAGCCTCGGGTCCCACTGCCGGAGGACAAGCCTTCTCCATGGGGTAGGCCAGGTGGCTGGCTGTTGACCGAGCCTCGGCCGTCCTGGCCTTGGGGTCTTGTCTGCCGGAGGGCGAGCTGGGCCCAGGGTGACGTGAATGGTGAATGAGGATTTAGGCTCTGGGAATACACGGGGGGGGGGGGGGGGGGGGGCGGTTAGCCAGCCTCCCTGAGATCTAAAGTGTGGCAGGAGCTGTCCAAAGACCAGAGGACGCTTCAGGCCGAGGGGACGGCTCAGGAGACAGCCAGGAGACTGTGTTCTGGAGTGCGGGGGACAAGGAGACGTGGGGCCTGGCCTGGGCGGGGGCGGGACGTCAGGAGGACCCTGCCTGGAGCCCCGAAGCCAGCTGTGTCTCCTGAGTTTTGGCCACATTGCGTCGTCTTCCTGCCGGCCGGGCGGCCGTGTTTGCGTTGGCGGCGGCCGGTGCCGGGGGGCCGAGTCCCCCTTCCTTCTCCCAGGAGGTTCTGGCTGGAACGCGGGGCTCCGTGCAGCAGGCCTGGTTTGCCTCCACCCACAGAAGCAGCCGCCGCGCAGCACCCCCGGGCCCCGGGCTGTGACCCAGGATTTGCAGGGGTGGGCTCAGCTGCCCTCCTACTCCGTGCTGGGCCCCGTGCCAGGCCCTTGGGATGCAGCGGCGGACCAGCCATTGTCTGCCCTGCTCAGCTTAGAGGTGGCCTCCTCCAGGCAGCCCCCCGCCCTTGCCCCCTTCACAGTGGACCACGCTGTGCTGAGGTGTGGGTTTGTCAGTGTCGATCGCTCGCTCCGAGATGCAGATGCCTGTTTTCACAGCTGCGCCACGGCACTCGGCACAGGCCCCCCTGCGCAGGGGTGCTCGGTAAATGTGGGTCGGGTGAACGAGGGCAACAGCA